TATTCGGATAAAGGGGTATTTTTCGATGACAATATCAAATTTTGAGTTAGTTTGTTTCTTTCGACGGGGTGGCGCCACCTACATGTCTTTTGAGTCTTTTAAAAAGTCATAACTTTTTTGTGCGTACCTGCATCACGATTATTTCAAATCCCAATAACTCGAAAACAGTTGCTCAAAGCGACCTCTACCAGGAATGTATTTTTTACACAAGAGTGTTCTAGAAATATATGTTTCTATACTATAAAACGTGATACTGGTACGCACTAAAAAGTTATGACTTTGCAAAAGACTCAAAAGACATGTAGGTGGCGCCATCCCCACGAAAGAGACAAACTAACAAAAAATTTGATATTATCAAGTCAACAGCTGATAGAAGCACAAAAAATATTTTCATTTCTATAATAGCAAAACAAAACTATCTAACCTACATTCCAAATCTATGAAAATGAGTCAGAGTCAACAGAAGACAGATAAAATATTTTGTCGGAGCATAAAATTGGAAATAGCAAATAATTTTTCATCTGTTCTGAAATTTCAAAAACAAGACCAAAACAAAAAAGTAACAATTGACATCATCCAAATCGTATAAATTCTCATTCAAGTTGTCGATTATCCGAATTGAAAGAGAACAGCATTCATTTCTCTATGATCGCAAATAAAACTATCAAAACTATTCCCATGAAAATGAAAAATAATAGCCAACATTATTCCAACAAAAAAGAAAAACAATAACATCCTCAAATAAGTTAGGTATAGAAGTCAACATGCAAATGACCAAACGGAGGAACAAACTCTGAGTCCGAGACAACAGAAGACAGATAATAGTTATTTGTTTAACTAGGCAGCAAAGTAGTAGATTGACTGCCGATGAGGCTGAATTCATAGCCGAGCGCAGCGAGATAGAAATCGGAAATCGCAGTTGTCCATGATAATTATAGTTTGACAAATCATGAAAGTTCTGACAGTTGTGCGAAAAAATATCGGTACATTCAAATTATTATATAATGGACAGTGATAGCGACTTGGAAGTACTTACACCTCCAGAAATAAGGGAGGTGGCAAAAAATATATAGAGTTGGATTTGTTGCCGGAGAAGTCTTCAATGAAATATGAAGGAAATTATAAACGATTTATGGATTATAAATTTTGCTGATACATATCAATCAGCAAAGTAACCACTTTGCTGCCTATAGGCAGCAAAATTAATATTTGCTGCCAATCGGAGAAAAAATGTTTTGTCAGAGTATAAAATTGCAATTAGCAAATAATTTGTCATCTGTTCTGAAATTACAAAACAAGACCAAAACTAAGAAATATCAATTGACATCATGTAATTAACGACTACAACTATACTCGAAATTAAAAGTATCCTTCAAGTTGTCGGTTATCCGAATGGAAAGAGAACAGCTGACAGAAACACAAAACAAATATTATCATTTATTTCTCAATATAATAACAAAACAAAAATATCACAACCCATATATGAAGGGTAATAAATAACCCATCAGGTACAGGTATACCTATAATTCCAATAAAAATGAGAAACAAAACATCCAAATACGTCATAAAAGTCAACAGATCACCAAATGAAAGAACATCAAACTATGTGTTCGAGTTCGAATCGATATAGTTAAGCATCTACAAGATGTATAGCAATTAGCAAATAATTTGTCAATTGTTCTGAAATCACGGAAACAGGACCAAAACTGAAAAGCAACAATCCTCGTAATTCCATTAAAAAAGGACAACAATAACAACCTTCAATAAGTTATAATAGTCAACAGATGACCAAACGGTGGAACAAACTCAGAGTCAACAGAAGACAGATAAAATATTTTTTCAAAGCATGAAATCCAACTATAGCAAATCCGAATATATCATCTATTCTGAAATTACTAAAACAAGACCAAAACTAAAAATCAAAACAATAATAACAACCCCTAATAAGCGGTTGGAAAAGTCAACAGATGACCAAACGATTATGTCGGCACATGTAACAGAGAACACGATCATCGATCAATCATTAATCCACATCGTATTTCAAAAATGACTTTAACTACCTATATTTCTGAAATCAAAGTCTCATTCAAGTTTTGGGTTGTCCAAATTGAAAGAGAACAGCCTTTATCAAGTCGAGAGATGACAGAAGCACAAAAAGAGCATTATCATGTATTTCTCTATAATACTATAACAAAAACTATCGAAATCTTTAAAAATGAAAAATAACCCACATAATTTCAGAAAAAGAACAACAATAACGATCTTCACTAAAGTTATAAAAGCCAACAGATGACCAAACAGAGGGACAAACTCTGAGTTCGAGTCAACAGAAGACAAATCAATTATTTAGTCAGAACATGCAACAGCAAATCAGCAATTAGCAAATAATTTGTCATTTGTTCTGAAATCACGAAAACAAGATCATAACTAAAAAGCAACAATTGACATCATGTTAATAACGACTACAACTACTCGAAATCAAAGCCTCATTCAAGCACGAAATAAACATTATCATGTATTTCTCTATGATACCAAAACAAAAATTCTCCAATAAAGTTATAGAAGTCAACAGATGACCAAACGAAGGGACACACTCTGAGGCCGAGTCAACAGAAGACAAATCTATTATTTAGTCAGAACATGCGAAAGCAATTAGCAAATAATTTATCATTTGTTCTGAAATTACGAAAACAAGATCATAACTAAAAAGCAACAATTGACATCATGTTAATAACGACTACAACTACTCGAAATCAAAGCCTCATTCAAGCTGTTGATTGTCCGAATCGAAAGAGAACAGTATTTATCAAGTCGACAGATGACAGAAGCACAAAATAAACATTATCATGTATTTCTCTATGATACTAAAACGAAAACTATCAAGATCTATTGAAATCAAGAATAACCCACATAATTTCAATAAAAAAGAACAACAATAACGATCTCCAATAAAGTTATAAAAGTCAACAGATGACCAAACGGAGGGACACACTCTGAGTCCGAGTCAACAGAAGACAAATCAATTATTTAGTCAGAACATGCAACAGCAATTAGCAAATAATTTTTCATTTGTTCTGAAATTACGAAAACAAGACCATAACTAAAAAGCAACAATTGACATCATGTTAATAACGACTACAACTACTCGAAATCAAAGCCTCATTCAAGCTGTTGATTGTCCGAATCGAAAGAGAACAGTATTTATCAAGTCGACAGATGATAGAAGCACGAAATAAACATTATCATGTATTTCTCTATGATACCAAAACAAAAATTCTCCAATAAAGTTATAGAAGTCAACAGATGACCAAACGAAGGGACACACTCTGAGGCCGAGTCAACAGAAGACAAATCTATTATTTAGTCAGAACATGCGAAAGCAATTAGCAAATAATTTATCATTTGTTCTGAAATTACGAAAACAAGATCATAACTAAAAAGCAACAATTGACATCATGTTAATAACGACTACAACTACTCGAAATCAAAGCCTCATTCAAGCTGTTGATTGTCCGAGTTGAGAGAGAACAGTCTTTATCAAGTCGACAGATGACAGAAGCACAAAATAAACATTATCATGTATTTCTCTATGATACCAAAACAAAAACTATCAAAATCTATTGAAATGAAAAATAACCCACATAATTTCAATAAAAAAGAACAACAATAACGATCTCCAATAAAGTTATAAAAGTCAACAGATGACCAAACGGAGGGACAAACCCTGAGTCCGAGTCAACAGAAGACAAATCAATTATTTAGTCAGAACATGCAACAGCAATTAGCAAATAATTTTTCATTTGTTCTGAAATTACGAAAACAAGACCACCATTAAAAAGCAACAATTGTCATCATGTTAATAACGACTACAACTACTCGAAATCAAAGCCTCATTCAAGCTGTTGATTGTCCGAATTGAAAGAGAACAGTATTTTTCAAGTCGACAGATGACAGAAGCACGAAATAAACATTTTCATGTATTTCTCTATGATACCAAAACAAAAACTATCAAACTCTATTAAAATGAAAAATAACCCACATAATTTCAACAAAAGAACAACAATAACGATCTCCAATAAAGTTATAGAAGTCAACAGATGACCAAACGAAGGGACACACTCTGAGTCCGAGTCAACAGAAGACAAATCAATTATTTAGTCAGAACATGCAACATCAGCAATTAGCAAATAATTTGTCATCTGTTCTGAAATTACGAAAACAAGACCATAACTAGAAAGCAATAATTGTCATCACGTTAATAATGACTATACAACTAGGTACTCGAAATCAAAGCCCCATTCAAGTTGTTGATTGTCCGAATTGAAAGAGAACAGATGTCGACAGATGACAGAAGCACAAAATAAACATTATCATATATTTCTCTATAATACCATAACAAAAACTATCAAAATCTATCAAAATGAAAAATAACCGACATAATTTCAAAAAAAGAACAACAATAACGATGTCCATCAATAAAGTTATAAAAGTCAACAGATGACCAAACGGAAGGAGAAACTCTGAGTCCGAGTCAACAGAAGACAAATCAATTATTTAATCAGAACATGCAACAGCAAATCAGCAATTAGCAAATAATTTGTCATTTGTTCTGAAATTACGAAAACAAGACCATAACTAAAAAGCAACAATTGTCATCATGTTAATAACGATTACATTTACTCGAAATCAAAGCCTCATTCAAGTTGTCGGTTGTCGAAATTGAAAGAAAACAACCTCCAAGCCAAAGTCGACGGACCGACAGAAATATATATGTATATTCAATTACCATTCAACAGTCAGGAAAGTTCACAAAGAAGCAAGAAGCGAAAAGAATTCGCTGAGTTTTCACCGGTCCGTACGCGCTTTGCACGAGATTGTACCCTATCCTCGATATCGACCAATCTAAATTCTCCAATTTACTGAAATTTTTCCTCGCGGTGGTGGGGGTACCCAACTATGCGAGAGGGAGTCGCTTCGTGAAATCGTCGTGAAATCGGCTCAGTCGAACGCACGCTATCGCTCGACACCGAGCGGAGCTACCCTATATAATTTTCATCCCCCCCCCGTTTGGTTTGTTTACACATTTTTCTGATTGATTTGGACGCTCGCTTAAGTGCGCGAATTTTGAGTTTTGCTCTTTTTGGTACTGGTGTACTAACTTTCGTTGCAGTGACGTTTTCGGTTGCACGCACTATACCTATATTAGACTATTTTATGTGTTTGTGCAAGTTACATGGACTCCTGGATAATTTGTTTTTGAAACTGTGTTTTCCTGGATTTGCGTGAAGGTGCGTGAAATGATTCTGCATGCTTGCGGGAGATAACCTGATGATTCTGTAGGAGGTTTAAACAGGTAAAAACATAACCTAATTGTTCTCTATATTCACCTCCATATTTATTATATGAACACTAGGTGCCTATAAATATCTGAGCTCTGAGCTTAGAGAACACCGAGGACAAAACTCCTGACAGTCCTCACATGACATAATATACGAAGGAGTTGAACAGTAACAGAAACTGTATATATAGGTATCCCAGTATTCCATAGTAAGCACAGATGAGTATTATATCCTATAGAGATATTTGATATTTTCACCAAATGTTGACTTCATAAGTATATAATATAAATACCTCCTGATGTCTGTCAAGAATTCTCCAAAATATGTTGATGGATGTTCTGTCGAATATAATTCTCATTTGAACATTTCAAGAACGTTCTATAATAAGTATTCCATATATACATATGGGTATTCTGTATGAATTTTCTCCAGAAATAATCATAGGATATATTAGAAAATTCCCAGAACATTTCAGGATAACATTCCATAAAATCCTGGATAATATCGTATGAATTATTTTCTCTTGAAGTTGTTTGTTTTGATGATATTTTTCATTTACCCTTATCCATTCGCGTTTCATTTCAATCCCAGAAACTGAAAACATAAATTTCAAAATATCATGAACCTAAATATGGATGTCTGATGAATATCCATCCATATGTATAAAGAACATTAGAACATCCTCAGAATACATCCGATGTATGTTCAACGGATATTCATGCATATCCATATTCAATGGACGTCCAACCTGGACGGTTCAAGTTTGTGGCCACCCAGGAAATATCCTTTGGTTGTCTATGGTAGGTATATTGTTTGGTTGCTAAGTGGACGTCTCTTGGATATCCAAACTATTCTTCACGGGTATAAATCGGTAGTGCATGTTTTGTATGGGTTATTATTCTCTGGAAGTCCTTTTGTGTGATTGTTTTCGCTATTTATTCCAGAATATTCTGGGGATTTTCTCAATATCCTCAGGATATGCATCTCCTCAGATTATGCTATAGGGTGATTCTCAGAATTGTTCTAAAATTTGTTCTATCCGTCATTAGGTTGCCCCCTTACGAGCAACCCTCAGAAATCTTCGAGAGTCTTGTGCGAGCAAGGAATGACGGGGGCCTTACCTTTTAACGTGTGATCCCAAACACGAATAGGTATATTGAGGATGTTCTAAGGACTAGCTCTGAAACATTCTGAGGACATTTCGAAGAAGCTGAGAACGATTTTGGGGGAGATTATGAGTAAATTTTCGTCTCATTTTCATGTTCTTATTCAACGAACCTTGTGAGAACATTCTTAGAATATTTTAGGAACATTCAAAGGATCAATCACCTTTTGCTGTCTAAAATTTGTTCTAAAATTTTTTTCTGATGGGATATTTGTTACTTATCCGTATATACCTACAAACCTCGATCCAACTCTCGTCCGAAAACTTACCAGATATCAATAAACCAGAAAATATACGGGAGTGCATGAGTTTACTAGCAATATAATATAGATATAGGCATTACCCTCGCTTGATGGCAACAAACGGCAACAAAGATGAATTTTATTTTCTTGTAGGTTTCCATAATTATGCTGCGAATATATACTTACGACAAACTTTGAGTTGAGTAATTAGTGCCGAAGGTGTTTGGTAGGCGGGTAAGGTACTTATCAATTTGTAAGGGCCACTTCATGAAAAACTTGGACTTAAGATTATAACGAGGATTATAATAACATTTTCCGTCGACCTCGTATTAACGATTAAGTTTAATGTATATGGAATCGTTCATTAATGACCCCTATTAATGAACGATTTGTCTATTAATGCACGATTGTTTTATAGGCAACCAAACATACACCGCGTGCATTCATTGTTTAGGCTATAACTTACGGAATCTGCATTTAAATCGAAAATATGGATTTCATCGAAGATTTTCCGTTAACGGGTTCGCCTTTCCAAGTTTCTAACAAGATTTCAATCCCTGTTTTCTAACACAAGGAATTTATTTTCTATGTTGATCATTTCGACAAATGTCACTAATGTCAGTAACAAGGCTACTGGGTGATTCTTAGCAGTTTCCGGATGAATGATGAATTCGCGAACCAAGTTTTCTTCATTGCAGGAGAAATGAGGAATATAGTCGACGGAAAAATTTTGTAACCAACTTTTATATTAAATGGCGATTAATGATCTCGAACATTAACGCGCTCGCTTCGCTCGCATGTTAAAATATCTCGATCATTAATCGCCCTCATTAATACACTAGTTGGTTAAGTAACTATCAATATACTTATTTATCATTCAAGATGACAGATGAAAGACGGCGAAACTATCATTGGTTATGTTATGAAACCGCGTGAACCATCGTGTGGCTTATGATTTTACATCGACTTCACAACATCTAAGTAGTTAAGAAGATGCCTAAATTCCAACGTTTTCATAAAGTCATACTGACCAAGGAAAAATATCCTCTCTAGTAGGTAGTTTTGTTCAGCAGTAATGTAGATGGATTGCCTCGTTTTGACCGGTTTTGACTAATCAAACAAAAAATGTTTGTACGCTTTGACCCTCGGCTTTGACACTTGATATATTGTCCTCAAGATTATGCAGAAGATGCATATTTAACTAAACGCGTGTCGAGGTGTGGAAAACTTTAATTGGTTCGTAGTAATTGCACCTAATATTATTATACAGTCTCTATATTGTATCCTAACCTTATGTGTGTTCCAAAAATTCGAATGAAACAAAATATCCCTTTTTTATTTCAATTTTTTTTTCTAGATGTTCGATTGTTGCATTCATGTTACATCATGCATGGTGAACTCGATGGTGAACATGATTGAAAAATCTACAATAATAAATATTCAATACGAAACTGTCAATTTCTATGAACGAAACAATCGAGTATAGGAATCTGTGATAGCTCATAGCATTTGGGATATCCAAAGGCATATGGAAAAATGAAATAAAAACTCCATGTCCATATTTTGTAAAACTCTCGGTAAAAATAAATCGATGATGGTTACTACAAGACGAAACGTCCGGAAACGTCGGATTTCAAATTCGAATACGCCCACGTGTAGGCAAGAAAAAGTGGCCATGATAAAGTGAAGTGAAGTAAAAAAATATAGGAAAGGTTATATGTAGTAAATTTTTGTTTTTTTCGTATATCTTTGAATTCCGAATTGGTAGACGCTCTGGTAGACGTATATAAGATCTGTGGCTTCCCAAGTCTCCGTCACTACCATAAAACAAAAAATAATTTCATTTTCGAACTTGAATGATCTCATACACTAAAATGAAAATACATTCAGACAATGAACAAATGTGACAGAAGTGTCAATTTGATTTTCGTTCAGATGTTACTAACCCTAGATCATGTCACACTTTGATTTTAATCGAGACTCGAGAGATAGACCACTCTTCATCGCGATTGTAATTGCACTCAAATATCTCAATATCAGTTGTCGATCTGCTCGAAGACAGTCATCTACGAAAGCTCTGAAGGGACATGGTGAGATATTTTTTAAAAAAATATCTCCCACATTTTCTTAGCATAAAAATGAGGGAGATATTTTTTTATCTCAATATAATGAGTTAGCTATCTCATTATAATGAGATAAAAACAAAATTATATTTCTTCATGTCCCTCCAGTGCTGTTATAAAAATGTGAAAAATAATTTTAAAAAAATATCTCCCATGTCCCTTCTGTGCTGCATATAAAAATGTGATAATTTTTTCTGGGTCTGCTGTGTTGCCAAGTGTATTTGTATAATTTCTATGAGCTCGCACATGCGTGCATGTTCGTGATTCCGATATCATGTGATTCATGTGACCAATTGGGAGACGGAATATATTTTGCTCTTTCCCCTTGATCACATCTGATCCCCCTTCCCTTTATGTGGCTTCACCTTCCTCCCTTCAATTCAAAAGTTCGACAAACTCATAAATAATGTCATAAGCATAGATAAATTACTCTCATTTGTTTAAGGTCATAAGTCATTTCGACTACTGTTGGAAACATTGATCGAGGCTTTGCACATAATAATGACGAAAGTTGTTCGATGATAATCAAAAATGTTTGAATGAGATGACAATGGTAGATTAGAAGTTGATTGAACAATCAGAACTAATGTCTGCTGCCTAGTGCTGATACCATCCTGGTGTTGAAAATGGGAGCAAAAGAAGCAAGGATAGAAGACTGATAGAAGCATGATGGGATAGAAGTTATGGTTTTACATTTTATAGACGAATAAACATTTGAAATATTGTATTCTCTGCCTGAATTCACTAGAACAGCAGAAGGTACTGCTCCTAGAAATGTGAGAAAGTAAAGAAGAAACATAATATGAATCATATTCTTTTCAGTTGTTGATTCAATCAGTTGAAGAATGTTCTCAGACAAAAAATTAGATATGGTCTGGTCTATGTACACCCCTGATATGTTGAAAAAACAAATTTCATCACCACTCAGAGCTGGAAGGTACCAGTAAATAAAGGGTCCAGTAATGACAAAGATGTGGAAAATATACCTACTCTACTTGACTAATCAATTCAACACTTCCAAGAAGAACAGAAACCCCCTGAACAGCAAGTTGATAATATGGAGTGCTACAAAAATAGAACTTGCTGAAATTCGGAAGGCTGCTTTTATAGAAGATCATCAGCTCAAACTCAAGCATTTGCAAGTAAAACCATGAACAGAAATGATGGAATCTACATGCAGAGAGCAGAGATTGTGGATAAAATAAAATTCTGAAAAGAAGAACATATGAAATGAACATGACAATTCTTCAAGAAGAGAATAGATTACTGAAATAATGTTATTTTTGTATTTAGGTGGTATCTTTTCAATTTAATTAAAAATGTATATACATCACAGGTATCTTTCATGCCTTGTACCTAAGTTATAAAGGTTTTTTTTACATATTTCAGATGTTTATTGTCAACAAACATAAATTAATTGTATCATTTCCATGTGCATATTTAAGAGATACATCATCCATACATTTGCAGGTTTTACAATGCTT